CTGGGTTTGGTGGCGCCTGCCTGTAATCCCACCTACTCAGGAGGCTGAGGCACAAGAATCACTTGAACCTGGGAGGTGGAGGTTGTAGTGAGCCAAGATCCTGCCACTCCACTCCAGGCTGGCAACAGGGTGAGACTCTGTCTCAAAACAAAACAAAACAAAAAAAGTGTACAGCCTAGAGTAGACAAGAAACTGGGTTTCCCACAACTCCTGGTCTGGTGCACTTTCCATGACACCATACCACGCTCCTCCAGAAATGGTGGCTCACAGCTCTTCACCAAGTGGTTCTTCCTTTCACCATTAATAGTTCCCAAAAGGCTCGCTCATCTACAATATCATAGCTCTCTGAAGGCCATCAGTGCTGGACAGTTCAGATCCAATCTCTTGGCACTTTTTTTAGAGGGTGCCTCAAAGAAGGAATCTTACCAAGTTTTATAATAGTAGTCATAGTACAGCATGGCTTTTGAAATAACTTATCTTTTCAGGTTTCAGTTGTAAAGCAAGCCTATATAACACCACACTGTGGGCTATTTCTCTTAACTGGCCTTCCTGTTTCCATTCTTCTATAGAATAATCTTTTAAAAATATAACTTAGACCATGTCATGCCTTAAAACTCTCCAATGCCTATTGCTGTGCTTAGGGAAAAAAACAGAGATTTCTTATATTGGTTTAAAAAACCCTTCCTGACCTGACCTTCTGGCAACCTTGGGGACTTCATTTCATACTACCTCTCCTTGTCCCCCTGCACTCCAGACACTATGCTGGCATTCTTTCAGTTCCGTGAACATGCCAAGCTCGTTTCTGCTTTATGACTTCTTATCTTTTTTTTCTTAGCTGTTTCCTGAGCCAGACATGCAAAGAGGCATTAAGCAGTGACTATCTTGGCCAAGACATGCTGGCATCAGGGGAAATGGAGGTGGAGACACACTTAGAAAATGATGGAATGGCTTCCGGGTAAAAACAAACAAAAACAAGAAACAAACAAAAAACACATCTGTTCCCTATAAGAACCACAAAGGACAACACAGGAATGATTGTGCTTCAGGCACTGAGGTAGAGTATCCATTTGCTTTGCGATACCTGCCTTCCCCTTTAGAGCAGCGGTCCCCAACCATTTTGGCACCAGGGATGGGCTTTGTGGAAGACAATTTTTTCATGGATTGGGTGGGGGTGGTCTGGGGATGAAACTGAAACTGTTTCACCTGAGATCATCAGGCTTTAGTTAGATTCTCATAAGGAGCGCCGCCCACCTACATGCGCAGTTCACCCTAGGGCTCCGGCTCCTGTGAGAATCTCATGCCACCGCTGATCGGACAGTAGGTGGGAGCTCAGGTTATGGTAATGCTCACTCACTGGCCACTCACCTCCTGCTGTGTGGCCCAGTTCCTAACAGGCCACGGACTAGTCCCAGTCTACAGCTGGAGGTTGGGGACTTCTGCTTTCACAGCACCCTAACTTTCTGAAGGGAAAGGACAATGCATGTTTGTAGCTCAACAAATGAGGCTGTACAAGAGAGGCTTCCAAACCCTTTCATCACCTGAGGACCTTACAGAAAAAGAGGTTCTTGATTCAAGTAAAATGTGAAAAAAGTTATCACACTTCTGATTCGAATGGAAATTTGAATACTTACTGAATATTTAATCACATTAATCATTTGTTGCTGCTTAGGAATCATAAAGGCATTGTGGTGAAGTCTTTAAAAGTTTTAATCTTTTAGCAATCTATATTAAAATATTAGGGATTAAATTACATCTGAGATTTACTTCAACATAATACTAGAGACTGAAAAATGTCAGAAGAGGTGCATTTTTTTTTACAGGTTTCATCTGAATACATATTTATCAGATCAATATTACAGGTTATCACATTATCTACTACATACAGCTTTGCAAGACAGAAATCACAGTTTTCTAGCCAAAGTATGAAATGATTGCATTGTATATACAATGTACAAGGACAATGATAGTTTCTGGGTGATTTACTTCTAGCTGCACTTGTGGGTGTGTTTATGTGTGTCCATGTGAATCACCTGAGATGATACCAAAAATTAGTAAGTATAAATTCAGTTACAATTTTCTTTTGAAACCCTGTTTCTTTTCTTATCTTCATAACACCCTAAAAAAAAGTAACAAAAATTTCATTCCACAAAGGGTCAGAGTCAACATCACTGACAACAAGTATGATTGATATCACTGACCAGGGGTTAATGGCTGGATGAGGGATTCATTATATTTTTCTGTCTTCCTCAGTATATATGTTTCAAATTTTCCATAACACAAATTTTTTTTAAAATAGAGATTTCTGGGGCCCCAGCAGATTTTTCTCTCAATGGCTCTCCACTGCTAGTACTAGGAAATTCGCCAGCAGTACTCCTCCTTACCTACCTATACTATACAATGTATGAGTACTGGGAGGCAGGGGAAGGGTCTTGTTAATCAAAGCTCCTATCCTTTAAACATAATCCTCAGGAAGAAAGTATCTGATTGGAGTAATTTATTCAAGGTATACATTTAACAGTTAATCCAAAGAAGGGATGTTTACAGTTTAATGGAATTAAAGGAAAATATAGAAAACCTGAAAGATCATTTCTTTCAGGGAGGAACTCTAGATTTTAGATAAAAGAAATCACACTTGAAATTGTACCTCTACAACAACTCTATCTTGCGTCACTCGGTCCCTAGCTCAGTACATGTCACCACACTAACCCTCTGCTTCCTCAAACATGTTAAAGTTCATTTTGCCTAATGGCCTGCATTTTAGCCATATGTTTTATTCAAGGATGCTCTTCTTCTTCTTCTTTTTTTTTTTTTTTTTTTTGAGACAGGGTCTCATTTTGTAACCCAGGCTGGAGCACAGTGACATGATCATAGCTCACTGCAGCCTTGACCTCCTGGGTTCAGGTGATTCTCCCACCTCAGCCTCCCAAGTAACTGGGACTACAGGCCTGTATCACCATGCCCAGCTAATTTTTGCATTTCTTGTAAAGATGGGGTTTTGCTATGTTGCCCAGGCTGGTCTCCAACTCCTGGGTTCAAGCTATTTGTCTGCCTCAGCCTCCCAAAGTGCTGGATTACAGGCAAAAGCCACCGTGCCTGGCACTCAAGGACTCCTTTCCCTCAGATCACTCCACGGCTGGCTCATGCACTTCATTCATATCTCTACCTCAAAGTTGCATTTTTGGGAAGGCCTTCCCTGATACTTCTCCTTCAGTACACACTACTTTTGAACTTAAGCTGTTATTTTGGACTCTTATCTGACTAAATGAAACTATTTTATTTGCATACTAATTTGTCAGTCTCTTATATCAGGAATATAAAATCTCTGACTATAAAGCTCTTACACCTTTTGTTGATAGATGCATCCTGACCTCTTATCACAGGGTGTGGCTAAAATAGGGACTTCAAATAGGTATTCAAAACCTGAATACCTATTTCTGAATACATGAAATATGTACATTTAGAAGGGTGCTTTCCTGTGTCCCTACATCATGTTGCAGGTTGTAAACACAAATGCTACAGGGCTCAGATGGGTACTAAAGATAAAGAAAAACTAGATATTACTTGAACTGATGTAAAGGAGGCAGATGCTTTTCAGCTTGAACCATTGTTGCCAGGCTACAACACAGATCTAATGTAGTCAGATCTTCCCATTAATTCATGGGATGCCACAGATCCTTTTTTTTTTTTTTTTTATTCTTTCAATTTTAGCCATTAGCAACCAATTTGAAAAAAAAAAAGTAGCATGTGAATCACCAGTTGCAAGCTCTGTTCATACAAATAAGACAATTTGAGATTAATTAAAAGAAGAAACTGGGAAAAGATATTGAGAAGACTGTACAGTAGTGTTTGTAACGGTGAAAAATGGAAATCAACCTAAACATCCATCACTATTGGAATTCCCAAATAATTTGTGGCAAATCTATTTGATAAAGTCTAGCTATATTTATCAATGTGGACAGCTCTCAAAAACACAGAATTTGGTGAAACAATCAAGTTGCAGATCAATACACAAAATATAATAGCATTCATATAAAACTTCAAATACCCCAAATCATTCTACATATTGTTTATAATACATAGTAATAGTTTAACTATAGAAACCTAGATTGGCAAGATACATATCAAATTCATGATCCTGGTTGCCTCCCTGAGGGTGGTAGTAGAGTGGAACTGAGAATAGGGGACATCTGCTTTATCTGTAATGCTCTGTTTCTTTCATTCATAAATCTGTTCGTTCTGGATAGTGGGTGCGTTAAGTGTTTACTCTGTGCTTTTCTTTTAAAAACATTTCAGAATTTTTTTTTTTTTTAAATGGCGGGTGGTGGAAGAACATCCTATCCTAGAAGCCAGGAGACTGGGGTTGTCTTTGCTCTGCCTTTTCTGGCATGGATACAATCTCTAGATATGGTTTCCGCATTAGCTAATGCGGGGGTGGTATGTGGTGTTCCTCCAGAGTCCCTTCAATCTAAGGACCTGTGAATCTAAAACCTTCCCACCTCCCACTCCCACACCGGAAAGGCTACCCAGACCAGGCAATGAAACGTGCATTTCTTCCCTCATTTAAGATAGATCTCTTTCTCTCAGCCTGCAAGTCGTTCTCCAGAAGCTTTAAGTATAGTGGAAGTAGAACTGTCTTTGGCGACAGACACCTGCAACAATTAGCCTTTCTGAGCCTCAAATTCCCCATTTGTAAAACGGAGATTATAACTCCTACCCATAAAACTGTAGAGAGGTTTAGATATAACGTTATGTGTAGGGCCCGAACAGAATAGCTATTAATAGTGGTAACAGACTCTCGTTTAGGGGCTCAGCATCATGGTCGCTGAACAGAATCACCCTCTTCACGCCGCCTTCCAGCCAAAGTTAGTTTAGCCGCGAGAAGTCCGGGCAACCAATCGGAAACAACCAAGGAACAGTTGCACTGCGACACTCTGGTTCCGCCTTCGGGCGTGCTCGAACAGCATTCTGGGAATTGTAGTTCTTAGGGATCTCACACTCACCAAAGGGCTGAGTAGCTTCCGGGAAAGGTACTGCATTGCCCGTTTCTACTTCCACTGCACCTGCTTATTGCGTCTTGCTCCTGGGTCACAGAGCCTAAAACGACACGCCCAATCATGGGTCTTCCTTTCCACGCCCGCCGGAGTTACAGCTGAAGGCAGGACACGCGAAACAATGAAATGCCGGGGGCGGAGACAAGAGTGACACTGGGGGAGCAGGAAAAGGCGGGGCTTCCGCTTGGGGCATGGAGGCCGTGCCTCTCACGTCACTTCCGTAAACAAAGGGAGCTGCCGAGGCGCGGGTCCCGGGATGTGACCGGGGCTGTGTTTGTGGCTGCGGCGGTGGCTTCTGAGGCTGTCGGGTCTTTGCGGGTTGCGGAAGGGGGCCCCAATACCCTTCTTCAGGTATGTAGTGGAAGCAGAGGAACCTCCGCAACCCGCCCCTTTAGGCCTTTCCCACCACTCTGGTCACTGCTGGGTACTGGGCGGTGAAGGGTCATCGCTTCGGCAGATTGGGGAAGGGGAGTGAGGTGATGTCAAGAGGGACCTCCAGGGGTACTGCTTGGAGGCAAGACTTGGCACTTAAAACCACTGTGTGAATAACTATGAGCAGTTTACGTATGCGTTCTCTAAAACATTCGTTGCTGTTTGATATACAAGGGTTTCAGTGCTCTTGTGACAGGTGTGACTTTCCAAAAACGAGGAAATCGCGAGTGCTGGCTCCCCAGAATATTGTGGCTTAGACCACCATTGGTTTATTTGCATTGCTTTACTTCCTAGATTTTTTTTTTTCTCTTGTACCACCAAATGCGTATTAGCATCGTGAAATTTCAGGCCAGCGTGTTTATGCGTATCATAAATTTTTAGATTCTTGCCTCTTCAGAGAACTAATATCCCATCGTCTCTATTCAGTCATCTTTCAGACTTTCATTTGTGTTGCATGTTGAAACAACACCAGAATTACTATTGTTACCAAAATTATTCTTAGAAGAAAAATTGTTAGCCAAGGTTTAAGTGGATTGATACCCAGTGGTATCTGGGATTAGAGACTGGGCACTGGAGCCTTTCCCAGAAAGCCTCTTCTTTGGAAGTATTGTAGCTCCAGTTGTGATTGTCTAGCGTCAGCCAATTTAAGCTGAGTGGTTTAAATTCCAGTGCCAGTGGCACTAAGTCCAGGCAAAAGAAAAAAAAATTTCATTGAATTTCTCAAATAATTATTTTAAGCGACAGCAATGGGTTTGAATCTTTTCGAATGGTCATGGCATGCTTAAACACAACATGCAAAAAACGGCCTGATGTTTCCAGAAGGCAATTTACAACCTGATGAGGTAGATAGCTATATAAATTATCTTACGTTACATGAAATAATGAAGTTAAGAAAAATTTAACACTATGCGCAAATAAAATATGGAAAGGTTTTCTTGTTTTTATTGTTTTGTTTTGAGACGGAGTCTCGCTCTGTCGCAGTGGCGCGATCTCCGCTCACTGCAAGCTCCACCCGCCGGGTTCACGCCATTCTCCTGCCTCAGCCTCCCGAGTGGCTGGGACCACAGGACTCCGCCACCACGCCCGGCTAATTTTTTTGTGTTTTTAGTAGAGACGGGGTTTCACCGTGTTAGCCAGGATGGTCTCGATCTCTTGACCTTGTCATCCGCCCGCCTTGGCCTCCCAAAGTGTTGGGATTACAGGCATGAGCCACTGCGCCCGGCCAGAAGGGTATTTTTAAATAGATAGATGTTAGAAAATAGAGCGGATTAATACATAAAGTAAGGGGATTGTGTAGGGGTAACTAGGAGGCCTTACACATATTCCCCATGGAAGGGCCCTCTGTAACTTCACATTGTTAACTTTTTTTTGATACGGGTAAAACCAAATATATATCATAAAATTCATGTTTGTTTGGAAATGGTTAGAGAAAGTATATTCAAAATAGGCAACAAACAAGTTTGATTTTCTAGAACTTCCTTTGATCACCATGCTAGAATCATTATTAGCCCTAGCTAGAAACTGATTTCCGTTTAGTAGTTTGAAGTAAGGCTTCTATTTGATTTTTTAAATGCTGATTAAAATCCCCCTGACAGTTACACATCTGTTTGAATCTAGTGGGTTCTTCTTGAGCATACATTTTGGAAGAGAGACCTAAAGGCCACCTGAAGCTTGAATCAGGCCGGGAATATTATGTGGATCATTTGTTTATTGTTTATATATTGTTCCCCTTGTCAAATGTAGGCTTCTTGAGGGCAAGCATCTTGTTTTGTTCAGTGCCATCTCCCCAGTGCCCACAATGGTGTCTGGCTTGTGGAAGAGAATCAGTAAATATTTGTAGGATGAGGGAATAAAGAAAATGGTAAAAAACAAAACAACAACTACAAAACTGTCTACCAGACAATTTTGCTAGGGGCTTATGGGTACATAGTAGAGTAGATTAAACTTAAGAGACCCATTTTCTAACTTTCTCTTATGCCCTCTGGAATTCTTGATCCTCTTTTGACCTGTGAAATGGGTCTTTGAATTTCTTTCATGTTTGCATATTATAGCATACATATATAATTGTATTATTTCCTTATTTAGGTCTTAAGAAGCTGGCCGTGGTGCAATAAGGAACTTAAAACAATGGAAGAGCGGAAAGTGAAGAGGAGGAGTCCTAAGTCTTTTAGTGCCCACTGTACTCAGGTTGTCAATGCCAAAAAAAATACCATTCCAGTGAGTAAAAGCACAGGGTTTTCAAATCCTGCATCACAGTCAACTTCACAGCGACCAAAGTTAAAAAGGTGAATTCTTTTATTTTACATGTTCACAGTAAAATGCCATTGAAGTAAGTCCTGACTCAACTTCTTCTTAAAACACTTTTTTAGTCTTGAGGGGCTGTGACTGCAGGTGTGTGCCACCACACCCAGCTTGCAGTTTTTATTTCTAAAAAATAATGATGTCATTGTTTTTGTATAAATAATTTGTGTTTTTTATAAAAATTCAAACACAGGAAAAATTCAAAGAAGAAATTCAAAATGCGAAAATTCTACCACCTAGAAATAGTCATTATTAATATTTGGTGAACATCATTTGCATTCAGGATATTTAAAGGAAACAAGTGACAAGTTTAACTATGTTATATGTTACTGTTATATGTATGTGAGTATTTTATAGTATTAGATATTTGGAAGGGAAGATTATAGCTTTAGAGAAAAAAAGTGTTGTGTAATGTCAATCTTCTTTCTAATTATTAAATAAATTTACGCTCACATCCAGTCTCACCCTCGCAAGTTAGCTAAGGAAATGCCTATTGCATTCTGTAGCCACTGGGTTTACACGTAATAAAAGATGAGATTACTGCCTTGATGAAGATCTCTCTTTATGGAAACAAAAGGGACATAGCCAAAGACAAGAGAACATTTGAAAGAAGTGTTCCAATGAGTACCAAATGATAAACAGGAGTTTTGAGTTTTGAGGATTTCCTTCAAATAAATGATCAGAATGGGGATTTTGTCGTGGAGGAGTTTAATTAGGGTCAGATTTTGAATAACTTTACAGTCGGTGGAAAAAGAAAACCAAGAGATTTTAAAAGTAATCACTCCTTTTGCTATATTTTTAAAAGCAGTTTATTTGTATCATTGTCATTTTTACTGGTGGTTTTATTTCCATACGCTCTTGTAGATGTTGGCTTCTGAGAGCCGGGACTATCTGGATCGTCATTGTGTGCCTGACAGTACTTACAGTGGGCCTTTGCACATAGTATTATTTCACTGTGTGCTTTCTTTATTGTTGAATTATGTTAACAGAAAGTGAGAGTGTGAAATAACATTGAAGCAGGAATAAACAGGTTTTTGTTTTATCTTTTGTGTTTGTTTTCTGAGAGGGTTATTAATTGATGATGTGAAACTTTACGTGGAGAAAACTTCTAAATTTGAGAGAAAAAAATACGTTTGTCATGCTGAAACCTTGTGCTCTGTAATAGTTTATCTCAGATTTAAAATGTGAATATGGATCTTTCAGGGATTTTTTTAGAATACAGATTCTGCATCAGTGTGGGATGGGGGGCTTCAGATGAGCATTTCTAAGAAGCTCACAAGTGAAATTGATTCTGTGGGCCATGGGCAGCACTTTGAGTAACAAGGTATTACATAATGTATATAATATATAAAACGCAGCCCTTGCTTTGGGAAGAACTGTTATTGACCTACTGTCCACAATGTATCTATTCTAAACTTCTTTCATATGATAGTCTGTTTCTTTTTTCCCCCCTCCCCTACCTTTCCTGGTATACCCTATTTATCTTATCGTTATTGTGGTGAGGACAGCTGTGTTGAAGGTGTCTTCATTCAACATTATGTAAAATTTAAGTACTGAATATACTTCCATATCGGGATTTGTTGTGTGCATTGGGTTATAAAGATAAATTACTCTTTCTCCCATTTTGCCTATTTAACCGCTACTTGTTCTTTAAGTCTTTGCTCACTTATCACTTTTAGGAAGCCTTCTCTGGTTGGCCCCAGGCTGAACGAACTGCTTCTCTCTCTTCCTGTATCACGGTGTACATAACATCATCACTCAAGCATTTGAGAGCCTGGTATATGCCAGATATGTGTAATAAGGACTAATTTAGGGGTTCCAAAAAGGCCCTCCTGAGGAAAAAGCATTTAAACTGAGACTTGAAGATGTGTGGGAGGTAGTGTGCCAAAGATGGCAGTAAGTGGAAGGATGCTAATGTAGGCAGAGGATTAGCACGTAAGAAGATAAGAGAATGGATTTCTAGGAAACTAAAGAGATTCAGTGTCTAGAGCATAGACAAGGGAGGATAGGGTTTCTTAGGGGTATTAGATTATATTCAGCAGGCAATGCAAAGCTACTGAAGTTTTTTTTTTTTTTTTTTGGACGCGGAGTCTCGCTCTGTCACCTAGGCTGAAGTGCAGGGGTACAATCTCAGCTCACTGCAACCTCCACATCCTGGGTTCAAGGGATTCTCCTGCCTCACCCTCCTGAGTAGCTGGGACTACAGGTGTGCGCCATCACACCAGGCTAATTTTTATGTTTTTAGTAGAGACAGGGTTTCGCCATGTTGGCCAGGTTGGTCTTGAACTCCTGACCTCAGGTCATCCTCCTGTCTGGGCTGCCCAAACTGTTGGGATTACAGGCATGAG